ATAAATTCGCCGCCTCCGTCTGAAAGACAACACTGGACACAGACGAACAAGCAGACACAAGACAAGACTTATGACATTGAGTGCTCCAGGCTGACACAGAATTGTGTCCCCAATCAACTCTGGGACTATGCTGTATCAGCCAGGGGTGACCGAGGACAACGGGTGCTATGGGTGAGTCCAGAAGCAAAAATGAAATCTGTTCAGTGTGATTGCCAGACGTGACCAGTGTCAAGGGGTGTGTGCGATAGGTTATGGATGGAAGTTCTTGACCGTTAAGTGCGCTGACAGAAATGGTGTCTTTGAGAGTAGTGATGGGTAATCCAAGTGTCCGAGCAACAGTTATGTCCAGAAAATTACCCTCAGCTCCTGAGTCAAGAAGGGCTTGCGTGGGATGGGACTGGGTTCCCCACAGCAGTCTAACCGGGAGGAGAGTAGAGGAAGAGGCCTTGTTCACGGAGATCCCGCCCGACAGTAGCCTCTCGTTCACGGCCGGGCTCGATCTTTTACCGGGCAGGTGTTCAAGTAATGACCAGCCCCGCCACAATAGAGGCAAAGGCCCCTGGATCTCCGGCGCTCTCTCTCCTCCCGGGAAAGCCGAGCTCTACCCACCTGCATGGGCTCGGGATCGTAGGCGGGGCTGACCGCATCACTGCCGCTGGACTGCAGGTCTCTGACACTCACGGGCCCCTGGGCTGCTCTGGTCCGCTGCTCCAGTTGGTGTAAGCGAGCGTCCACCCTCAGAGCCAACTCTACGAGTTCGTCGAACCTCTTGGGTAGATCCAGCGTGAAGATTTGCTGCTGGATGCGGTCAGCCAGCCCATGCAGGAACATATCCCACTGCGCCTCCTCGTTCCAGTAACACTCGGCAGCCAGGGTGCGGAAGTCGATGGCGTAGTCCGACACTGAACGGTTACCCTGGCGCAGGTCTGCGAGCTGACGAGCGGCCTCCCGTCCAGTGGTCGCCCGATCAAACACTCGCTTCATCTCCTCCGACAGTGTCTGGAACGAGGAACAGCATTGATGTTGATTTTCCCGCACCGCCGTTCCCCATAATGCTGCACGTCCTGTGAGCAGTGTTAGGACAAACGCCACCCTTGCCCTCTCAGTACAAAAGGTTTGGGGCTGCAAGGAAAAGAACATAGAGCACTTTGTTAAAAATGCTCTACAGAAATTCGGCTCACCAGCATACATCTCAGGCGCGGGTAGTCGAGGCTCCGGTTGACGGTCGGGTGCTGGCGGCGGTTGGGGAATCGGCGGTGGGCTGGGCGCAGTGGGAACAGCCAGATGTTGGAGCTGCTGGGTGAGCTCGGACACCTGTGCTACCAAGGCTTGAACGGCACGTCCCGTGACGGCCAGGTTCTCCTCTTGTTGATCCATTCTGGCATCGCTAATAGACAGAAACTCACTTAAGTCTGATGTGCCGCTTGCTGAATCCATCTTGGTCAGATCGTTCTGTTAAGAATAATAGACAGAAGATTCAATTGCAAGTAAAAGCTGGATGTTTATTGTAGTACACTAGTGGATGCACAAACGTCCGTGGGACGGCCGTATGGCAGCACAGGGACGCTGTGGGGTCTCGCAGGATGAGCAGCGATGAACAGTCCGAGAGGGCAGGAGGAGGAACAATCCAGACGTGCAGGTGAAAGTGATCCGAGGAGACCAAACAGAAGTGCCAAAACACCGACGAACCGAACAGGACTGGAACAGGCAGGAACACGGCGAACAAGAGACAGGTGGGTAACACTGGAACATCCAACAACGATCTGACAAAGACAGGGAGAAAACAAAGGGACTAAATAGGGCTCACTGATCAGCCACAGCTGACGCGCAGATAGAGCGCAGCTGGAACAATCAACCGCGGTGATCAGCGACCCCGCCCACGCACAACATGAGACGAGAAGGAGACAGCGAATTCATGAACCGTGACAGACAGGGCAGAGAAGATTAACCTCCCCATCCTCGGCAGAAGGGGGAAGGGCTAATAGCGTAATAACTTTTGCTCTAAACGGCGTTGAGAGCACCTTGGGTGCATAACCATGCCTGGGTTTGAGAATGACTCTGGAGTCATCCAATCTAAACTCCAAACATGCAGGACTCACTGAGAGGGCCTGCAGATCTCCCACTCGCTTGATAGATGCCAATGCCAACAGGAGAGCAGTCTTTAGCGAAAGTGGTTTTAGATCAACCGACTGGAGCGGCTCAAAAGGTGGTCCCCTCAGGGCCCTAAGGACCGTGGAGAGGTCCCAAGGCGGCACCGAAGGGGGCCTAGAGGGGTTAATCCTCCTAGCACCCTTCAGAAACTTTACCACCAGGTCATTCCTTCCTAGTGATTGGCCAGCCACCAGAGCATGATGCACTGCGATGGCTGCCACATACACTTTGAGCGTGGACGGGGTGCGGCCCGCGTCCAGTAGCTCCTGCAGGAAGGAGAGCACCACCGAAACCTCACATGACTCTGGGTCAATACGATTTCTCGAGCACCAGCTGGAAAAACCCCACCACTTTAAAGCATAAAGGCGCCGAGTAGACGGGGCCCTTGCTTCAGAGATAGTGCTTAAGACCCTGTCAGGAAGGTCCCCGGATACCCGTTTAGGGGCCACACATGGAGGGCCCATAAATCGGGTCGGGGATGCCACATCGTTCCGTTGGCCTGTGTGAGGAGATCCTTCCTCATCGGAACAGGCCAGGGGGTCGTGTCTGACAACTGAATGCGCCCTGAATGCGGCTACCAGTGTCTGCACAGAGAGCGCGCGCTCTTGAGTGAGCCGCGCTTTCATTGTCACCGAGTCTAAAACCGTGCCCAGAAAGACCACACTCTGGCTGGGGTTCAGTTCGCTTTTGGCAACATTGATTGTGAGACCCAGGCACTTTAAATGGCTGAGAATAAAATCCCTGTGAACTATTAGTTCGTCTCTCGACTGCGCTAGCACCAGCCAGTCGTTGAGATAATTCAGCACACGCACTCCCTGGCTTTTCAGCGGGGAGAGCGCTGCATCCATACATTTCGTGAATGTACGGGGTGCCAGAGCCAGACCGAACGGCAGAACGGTGTATTGATATGCCCTCCCCTCGAAGGCGAATCTCAAAAATGGCCTGTGACGAGGGTCGATCTGAATATGAAAGTATGCATCTTTCAGATCCATTGAAACAAACCAGTCCCCCGGGCGAACCTGCGCGAGAATTTGTTTGAGTGTTAACATTTTGAAAGGCCGTCTCATGAGAGCCCTATTCAAACGCTTCAGATCTAGTATGGGTCTGAGCCCGCCGTCTTTCTTTGGAATTAGAAAATAGCGTCTGTAAAACCCCTAATACATTAGCGCGGGAGGGACTGACTCTATCGCTCCTTTTGCTAATAATTCCTGAACTTCGGTGCGAAGCACGTGATTCACGCCGCTTCTCACCGATGTCTCGATAACCGCCTGGAATTTCGGGGGTCTGTGAGTGAATTGGAGCGAGTAGCCTCGCTTTATAGTGTTTATGACCCAACTCGACACACCAGGGATGGCTTGCCAGGCCATCACTCGTGTGGCTAGGGCGTGACACACTGAATGGGGGGGACCGCCTAACATAGGGGGACCTGATACCCTTATAATGTGATTTGTGCACATACTGAGTGTTTGACTGACTATATAGGCTTTTGCCCGGGGGGAAGTCAGTGTTACAACAGGGCGGGGGCCGCCTAGTGAAGGGGGACCGTGAACCCGTGTGTTGTGATTGTGAAACATGCTCTTTTTGTGCTTTATTTGGGTCGCCGTGAAAACGGCGTTTGTTTGCAGAGACGCGCTCACTGCTGCGGGCCTGTTTACAATAATAAAATCCCCAGCCACCTGAACTGAACAGGGAGCTGTGGGAAGTTTTGCTGGTTTCTTCGAGGGTGGTCCGGCTAGCGCGAGACACGAGCCCTCTCTCTTTCCCCTCCGTGCTAGGACGACTTCGGAGGCGCCTGGTCGGCCACGGCACTGGGTCGAGGGCCTTGACGCCTGGGGAGCGGGTAGCGCTTCGCGGGCCTTGACTGGCGCTGGCTAGCCGATTGCGCAGCACGGAGATAGGCATGCTGTCGCAGGCCTCACATCCACCGGCAGAGAGAGCATTCTCTGCGTGGTCGACACCCAGGCAGGAAATGCAGCTCGTGTGCTGGTCTGCCTCGTGCAGACGGCCTCCGCACGTGGCGCAGGATGAACGAGGCATACTGAAGAGAATTCACAAAATAATAATGCAAAGGATATAGGATGTCGCCGGATAGCCACAGGTGAGACGGCGTCAGGAGACAATCGACGTGCAGGCGAAGTCTGCTGAAGAGAAGCTCGCTCAGGCTGAAAGGCTTGTTCGACGGCGAATCCTACAGTAAAAAGCTCAGGGACATGTGTACTGTCGCTGAAGGAGTAAAATCTGCTATAATGGCGAATTCGGGGGTCTATATAGGCTGGGCCACGCCCCCTCGACGGGCTCTGACGTTGGGCTAGCTCATTGGTCGTGCGTCAGATTCGCCCGCGCCATTGGATGTGCAGTTGCTGCAGCACAGCCTATGAGCGGGTCAGACGCTCAGTGTGCTAGCTGTGCAGCTGCAAATGCGTTTTACATATAGGCTTCAGTAAATCGAGGAAAAGGAGTTTCCCCACTGCGTATAGCTACGCAATACGAAGTGACCGTTCGAAAGGGAACAAAGGACTCATCTTGATCATCCAGGTAACAAAACACGGTAGGCTATATTGGGTGTGTGAACTTTTGATCATTTGTGTAACTTGTGTGGGCTGGGCTATATAAACATGTTATGTGAATCAGCTTATTCATGTTAGCTGTACAGTAAGCTACACAGTAGCTATAATAAATCACATACAATTCTTATGAACTAATATCACTACACTTCAATGCAGTGTGGTAATTCATTACTGGGCCGAATGGAATGAATCACTGCATGTAAGAGGCTTTTGTCTATAAGATATCTCCAGGGCTTTTACTTTATTAAAAGGGCTTTTATTTTATAAAGTGTTACCGGAGCTCTGGGTTTACAAACCTTCAACCGGATGTTGATCGTTATTTACAGCCGGTGAAAATGGCGGACATGGACGAGCTTTTCGGTAGTGATGGCGATAGTGACAATGAGCAACGAGGTAGTTTTTACACTTGGATTATTGCATTAATCATTGAAAATGTGTTTCATTTATGTGTTTAGTATATTTATCTCAGCAGAGCTCTCGTTTAGCGATATGTGCAGACAGCTGTAAGACGGTCATTGCTTCAGCACTGCAGACAATTTTTCATCAGATTTATCGGTATGGTCAGATCAGTTATTATCTTCACAAAATAACGAAGTAATCAAAGATATCGCCCACAATTAGAAGTATTTGAAAATGTTATGATGTATTTAAAAAAAAAGTAGTAGTCTTTCCAAATACATCTATTTTCTATAATATTTATTATACATTTTGAAATATAAATTATAATAGGGTAGATGGACATTTGTTCCTCATCAAAATATTTATTGTAAAATGCATAAACAAGTGCAAAAATTTGACTTGAATAAACCTCTTTCACTATGTGTATGTTGCTCATTTCTTTGCCATTAGAAATTATATGTCATGATCATTTATACAACTGTCTTGATTTTTTTTATATATATATATATATATATAATTCATATTCTATCAAAGTTATAATGGTCCAACCAAGCGATGTAAGAGTCCCCATATGATCTCCCGTCAAGATAAATCTCAAAAACCCTATATCTTTAAATATCAAATAATTTAATGTAATATAATAATTTGTACAGAATAGTTTGTATAACAAGGCAAGCTTAGTTCAGGTTTTAAAATGTCACGTGGTGCAACTTCCCATAATCTCAAAAATATTTATTACTTTATGATATTTGTAAAAAAAAAAAAAAAAAAAAATATTCTTTAATTGAAGACACTCTTATGGCATTGACGAATTAATTAAAATGAATAAACAGTAACTAGTTGTAAAATTAGCTGTTACATTTGGAAAAAATCCTCATTATGTAGCTCTTTTTGGCATGTGAAATGTTTCTGAAGTACTTGTTTATGGTATGTGTTTCATATTGAAGCTTTAAGTCAATTCGGATAAAGGCATATTAGCATAAAAGCAAGTTAAAAATATTAAAGCAAGTTAATAAATTTGTGTATGCTTTGATGTGTTTCTTCCAGCGTCCGTCTCTGGTTCTGGCTCTGGCTCTGGGTCTGAATCGGAGCATGAGAGACCCAGATCTGCCAGCAATGCTTCTGGCAGCGAGAGTGACAGGGATCATGACGAAGATGAGGATGAAGATGGGGGAAAGCCAAGCAATAAAGAGCTGTTTGGAGACGACAGTGAAGACGAGCGCGGGAGCCAGCACAGTGGCAGCCAGCACAGTGGCAGCCAGCACAGCGGCAGCCGGCACAGTGGCAGCCAGCACAGCGGCAGCCAGCACAGCGGCAGCCCGTCAGGGCGATCAGGCAACCAATCAGAGGCGAGCATGCGTTCGGACAACGAGCACAGTGGGTCAGAGGGCCATCACGAGGAGGACGGCGATGATGATGACAGGGGCCACAGGTCAGATGTAGCGAGTCCCGTCTCAGGAGCAGGAAGCCACAGGTCTGACAGAGGAAGTGCAAGTCCAGTGTCAGAGGCGGGCAGCCCACGCTCAGAAGCTGGAAGTGGTCATTCAGACCCTGGCACACCTCATTCAGATGGAGAGGGGTCAGGGAAAGATGTCCATTCCGGAGATGAGAAGTGGGGCGGGGATGGAAAAAGTGACCAATCAGAGGACGAGGACAAACCGCAGAACTCGGATGATGAAAGGGACCATTCTGATGAAGAAAGGGAAAGACAAAAATCAGGTGTGTTATATTCGCGACTTGATTTTATTTTTATTTATTTTTCGCCCCTAAGCTGGATTTTATTTGTCATTTAAATCACAGTGCATAATGTTATAATTTATACTAATGCTGCCTTCACCTGCTATCGGAAATGTCTTACTTCCCACTTCTGAAGTCATGATTACGAGCTTGTCGCATTCAAGTGCTTTGTTGTCAGAAAGAACAGGAACCATGGAGGACACCAGGTTTATTATTGCCAATTTATTGGGAAAATTTGATAAATGGCAAAATTATATTTAGCATCCCATATTCATTGTCAACCATATAAACATTCACCACGCTATCTACAGTATAGTCAGTTTTTTTGACGAATCGGTCAAATACAGGCTATATTTGCTGTGGATAATACAGTATGACTCAAAATGATTATACATGTATGTAAATATGCTAAGACAAGATGTTGTAGCTGTTGTGAAAAACAAAATAATGAATAGCAAGTCACAGAAGCAGTCGTTCTCCCCTCCGCCATGTTTACTTCCCAGTGGTAAATACGACTCAGAAGAAGAGTCGGTTTTTTTGTCGTTTTTGCCTTGGTGACATATCTAAAAAAAACGATGGTGGGATTAAAGCGTTTATATGCTTATTTATTCCCTTTGATCAGATTATTTCAGGTCTACACCACAACTTTCGATTTGATTAGATTTAGATCAAACTCAATTGAATGGAGGTGTTTATGTGAAACCTTTTCAATCCGACTGAGCAATCAATATGATTAATATTATTAATATTAAACGTAGCTATTGTATTTGTGTCAAAAACGAAAGGTCTACCTTCTCAGACAAAACCTGAGATGTCATAGATCTGTTCTCATCTGATATTATTAACATGTTTATTCTAACAAATCTTTCTGTTTGTGATCATTTATTTCAGAGTCTATCAAGGGCAGTGACAGCGAAGAGGATTTCACACGCAAGAAAAAGAAAAAAATCGCTTCAGACTCTGACTCGGATTCTGACCGTGATTCACAGAGGGGTGAGTGACAGACACTTGCTGTGATGGAACGCAGTGTCACACACACAGCAGCTCTGTTAAAATCTGTGTTTGTGTGCGTGAAGGTAAGAAGCCCGCGGCAAATGATCTGTTCGGGGAAGCAGATGATATTTCATCAGACAGCGACGCAGAGAAACCTCTCACACCTGGGCAACCAATGGTGAGACATTTACACGCATATAAATGAATCTGCTAAATAACTAACTATATATTTTCTCAAACAAGCTACCTTTCTTAGGGGGTTTGAAATATAATTAAACAGAATTTGTGGTAGGCTTTTCTTCACTGTTGGCATGTACATATCAGAGTGGAACGGCTTCACGAACAGGAAAAAATGCAGGACGGCACTTGATTATGGCAAAAATCACAATTGATTATTTTGGTCTATTATTGAAATCATGATTATTAAACATGATTATTGGTGGGGGATATGGTCAAAGTCTAATTTCATGATATGAGTCATTGTAAATGTCTGTGAACTTTCACAATTATCGATACTTCAGCTAAAACTAGTACCAGGTTAGTTAATGTAAGTAAAAAGTCCTCAAAACAGTTACAGAAGACAAGTAAACAGTCAGCAATACAATACGAACAAAGAAACTAATTGCAAACAAAACTGACAAAAAATACAACAGAACAAAAATACAAAAAATTAAATAAACAGTGCTTTGTTTTTCAGGAAGATGATGTACTAACAGTGTACTAACAAATTAAGACGGCCTTAAATATTACTATTGTAATTTTACTGTTGTTTTCTAAAATGAATGTATTTATTTATTCATTCATGTATTTATTTAGTTTACTGCACAATAGTATTATTACTATTGTAATATATTTCTTTATTGATTTTTATAATTTAATGAATTTTTTTTATTAAAAAAATAGTAATTACATCTTGGGCATCTTGTCATCTTTCTCACCCTTGAAAAGGTTTAATTCCTATTTCTTGTCATAATTTAGATTTACACCATATTCACCCTCTCTAACACCTAGAATTAAACGAGTTTTTATATTTTACTGTATTTTCAGTAGGTAATACTTTATTTTATGGTGACGTAATTCCACGTTAGTATGCACTTGCTATAGTAATAACAGTAAATTATGCATAATTACAAATAACTAATCCTAACCCTATAGTATAGTAAATATTACTCTCTACTTATTTGTGTAATTACACTGTAACAATATCACCTTAAAATAAACTGCAACCCTTCAATATGCAAATTACTAATCAATTGAATGAATCTGAACTGAATAAATAGGATGGTGAGGACGGTCTGGAGGGAGATCATCCCGAGGAGGAGCCGGCTCCAGAGACGAGGATCGAAGTGGAGATTCCCAAAGTCAGCACAGATCTGGGCAGTGAGCTCTACTTTGTCAAGTTGCCCAACTTTCTCAGTGTGGAGCCCAGGTGTGTGAATGTCTCCTGGAGAACTGAAGGAGTTTCTAAATGCTCCATCCTTACAATGCCAGTCAGTCAGCAGTTTGTCTCATCTCTCACTGTCTCTCCACAGGCCGTTTGACCCTCAATACTATGAGGATGAGTTTGAGGATGAGGAGATGTTGGATGAGGAAGGACGGACCCGTCTCAAGCTGAAGGTGGAGAACACCATCAGGTGGCGCTCTAGGCGCGACGAGGAGGGCATCGAAGTCAAGGAGAGCAACGCAAGGATTGTTAAATGGTCAGACGGCAGGTGAGGAGATGCATGCAGAATTCGGTGCTGGAAAACTGCACAGAATCATTTCGGCAGGTGCTGATTATTGCTCGGATGATAAAATTCAGCAGAAATCTGGAAATCAGCATCACTCTTTCTCTTTCTGCAGCATGTCTCTGCACCTGGGGAATGAGGTGTTTGATGTGTATAAAGCTCCACTACAGGGTGACCACAACCACCTGTTCATCCGCCAGGGCACAGGACTGCAGGGTCAGGCTGTGTTCAAGACTAAACTCACCTTCAGGTGCGTCACACACACACACACACACGCGCGCGCGCGGTTATAGGCTGCATCTGAAAGCTTAGACAGCTGACTTGTTGCCTCGCTGCCATATCAGACAATGACCTTGCAGGCGCATGAAGGACGGTACCTCACTAAACTAATTTCGGACAGACTTCTGAGGCAGCATAGTGGTTTACTGATCTACTACAACAAAATAAAGAGAGCTTTGGTGATAAATAAACAAATGTATAATCCCTAATACTAATTTCTTGCTAGAAATGACATCAAAAGTTTGTCAAAAATGGACATTTACATACAAACTGACCACCAACCGCAACTTTCCGACACCATATTTCTCTTATGGAATGAAACGCACAGGATTATGGGATATCAAAGGCAGCGAAGGATACATCTATGCTGCCTTCAAAAATCGACCAAATAATGATATTTCAGTACGTGTCTTGTTGCCTTCCTGCTTGCAGTGGCAGCATTTTTCAGCTTTCGGACACAGCCATAGTATTGGTAGTGATGATATATCACTGGTTGGACGCTAGGTGGTGCTATTGGGTAATCTTTGCAAACCAGTGCTACAGGATCACATGTTTTTGTAGGCCACAACCTGGACACAAGTTAGCACTTTAGCTCTTCCGGTTTCATCATCCAAGTCCTCATCGTCTTTTAGTGACAGTTTCACTCACTGTCATAAGCAGGTATTCTTTGTTACCATCATAACCGCTTGCACATCTGCATTGAATTTACATTTTGTGTATGAAAAGTACCTCTACACAGGAGAGGCTGCATGATGGCAATAAAAACCCCTATACATTATTTAGTGCTATTCTATTTATTACGGTATTTGATATAGGAACTGTTGTTGTTTTTAAGTAAGTTTCAATCATGATGTTCCTTCATTTAAGCCAGTATAAAATTTCATACTGGAATTATCCCTCAAATGATGTAACCAATATTGCAAGCATATATACATTTAATAAATGTATTTAATCTTATTTTACTTTTTTTTTTTTACTTAAGTTTGAGTATAGCGCCTGAAAACAAAGCCCAAACAAACGCCCTCATCGAAAAGAAAGCCTTTTTGTTTACATATAATATATAATATTCCCAGGATAAAACCTGTTTCATTGAAAGATCTTTAAGTTTAGTTTGTAAAGAGTTTTAGCAGAACTTTTGTCCTAGTTGTTCAACATTTTTAATCATCTTTAAGCCTTTTTTGTTATGTGACATTTTTAAAAGAACAAAATGTCCTATGCTCAAGTAATATGCATTTGTAATAATTCTAAAATGAGTTATTAATTAAAGCATATCACACTTCAGGATGCCTCGATGTGTATTTCTACACGTAGCTGACATGTATGTGTGTTTGTAGACCTCACTCCACAGACAGCGCCACACACAGGAAAATGACCCTCTCTCTTGCTGACCGCTGCTCAAAGACACAGAAGATCCGAATTCTGCCCATGGCTGGCAGGGACCCAGAGTCCCAGAGAAATGAGATGATCAAGGTAAAACAAACACACACGAACTTGAACTCGGCAAAGAGATTTGAGTTTAGACCAAGACTGATGGAAAAAATTCATATCAACACAGAAATGCTGTGTTTTCAGGGGGAGGTTATTTCACAACGTGTATCCTCCTTAATAAAAAGCTCTTCTTTCTGAAACCCTGGAGTTGTAGGAGGAAACGAGGTCATAGAAATGTCCTCCTAGGGAGTTTAAGCATCATGTTTTGAATTTTAAGGCCCCGATATACTTGAAGCCAAATCAAAGAACAAACTGGTGTGATGTCATTTCGAACAAAATCAGGCAAAACAAAGTTTTTTTTTCTTTTTTTTCGGGAGTTCGAAACCGCTTCTCTGACTTTCCGGAAAAGTTTGCTCTGCCTGGTAAACACCATCGAACTACCATTGGTCCTTGGCGATGATTTAATAGGAAGGTGTGGCTCTGAAGCTCCGCCTTTTCTGACGTGGAAATCATCTCCGGTCCATTTCTTCTGTTCTGTTCCTCGAGGTCGTACATCGGCGAGTAAAAACATGAACGCACTGGAGAGTCGCTTTATAGTAGAAACTGAAGTTGTAATTCTAATTGAAAGGGACACTGACATGTTTTTTTTTCATGTTTAAAGGTTGTATCAGCGATTTCAGGCCCAAAAAAGGCCCAAACATAAATGATCCCATTCATCTAATCTTTTCTAACGATCCGCTAGCTGTCCGCCCCATAAGCAGGCCGTCAAAAAACCGCGTCTCTGTAGGCAGCCTAGGTTCTGAGATCTGCACACAAAAACAATTGGGTACACCAACCACTCAAAACCAAAATAAACCAATCCAACCAAGAAGGCGGAGCTGAAGAAGAAGCCAGCGTCTATCAACGAACCCCTGTCGGTGATTGGTTGGAACACTATTTATTTTGGTTTTGAGTGGTTGGTGAACCCAATTGTTTTTGTGTGCAGATCTCACAGCCTAGGCTGCCTACAGAGACGCGTTTTTTTGACGGCCTGCTTATGGGGCGGGCAGCTAGCGGATCGTTAGAAAAGATTAGATGAATGGGATCATTTATGTTTGGGCCTGAAATCGCTGATACAACCTTTAATGCTGTAAAGCAGAGTCCTGCACTGGTCCTGTTTGGTAAACCTGCACCCGCCCCGCACCCGCATTACTTAAAGTCCCCTGTAGTAAATCAACTTATCCCTTAAAACTCATCTTTAATCATCAGTTACATATTTAAAAGTTTTCCTTAAAAAATAAATTCTTCATGCCTTAAAATAGCTTGAATGTAACTCTACACCTTTGCCTCATTTAGTATTCACAGTTCTATGAATATTCAAATTAGCTCCGCCTCCACAGACTCGCACCAGCTCAGAGACCCACTCATTGATGATCACACGTTAATGTGATTGGTTACAATTGTGATTGGTTATTTTGTGACATCAGAAACACCAGCTATTTCAAAACCGTGACTTTGAGACTGTCTTTAAGTTTAGACTAGACTTCAGTTTTAAGGAGAAAATACTAAGCAATGGTGTTTGTTGAGTTATGAATTTGTACATGGTTTGTCTTAAAGCACACTAAAAACACCACATAGACACATAAACAACATTAAAAGCTTGATTTTCACCACAGGGGGACTTTAACAGAACACCCGAGCTGTTATCCAACAGCAGTCAATTATTTCTGAGTTGATAGACATTTAAGAAAAATAAACAACTTTTCTTAACAATCTGCCCATACAGGCTATTTTGAACAAGTGTGCATAAATCAAAGATGCTGAGATGTCTCCATAAAGGCAAAGAACATAGCAAAATATGAGCCTTTACTGTCATATATATATCGGGGATATTTTAGCGGATTCACTCTGCATTTAAATGCGGTTGTCTCTCCTGAAACTCTGCAGTGTATATGTGGCCGTTGGTCCTCTTACAAACATGTAAAATACAACTTTTATTAAAATTTTTAATAGATTATATACAGAAACTTAAGCGAGCAAAGAGCGTTCCCTTTATAATGACTGAAATCTGTCAATCACTTCAGTTACAGCGACAATGCTAGAACATCCAATGCTGCAATTCACATTGTAATGTGAGACCTTTGACTGTCTTCAGACTACAGAACGTTAACACAAATAAGCAGGGGATCGTTTAAAAGCCGCTGCCTATCAATTGAGTCGAATATTCTTTCCTATTGATTCCTAACCAAGGTAAATATTATTCCACCTGTTACATCAAATATTAGCGATTCACCCGTCGAGTACCTGCAGGAACCCATGTGCATGCAGGACTATCCTTGCTTTAAAATGATCTTTGTTGAAGAGCTTTTGCAAACATAAGCACATCACCATTATCAGATGCTTTCTCAATGGCTGTTTTCTCACTGCTGTCATTTTCGCTGTGTTTGTTGTTGTTGAAAGGGAATTCACATATTTCACATATTACATATTCATCTAAACGTGCGGATTTTTGCTAACTGGTCACGTTTTTCGAGCTTCTTTTTACTCCTAAGCGAGGAATGAAAAAGAACTTGGCCTTGACTGAGTATATCGGGGCCTTTAAAGAACAACATTACATACAATGACTCCGCTCTTGTCATTTCATTTCAGAAAATCTCATTGTTAAAATCTGATAAGCTATTGCATAAGACAGCAGCAGTAACATAACAGACTTATCAGAGTCTGTGAAGACCAGGCCATCTCGGCTCACAGCACGTTTTCTCTCACACTCTAACACACACACACACACACACACACAGCAGATCTTGGCAGCAGCAGGTTATGCACGTATGATTTGAGCTGTGTTATCTAAACAGATTGTCTGACAACTGAAGTGGAGTACTGTAAATGTTTGATCTATTTCCGCATTTAACTTCCTACTTCTAATGTCCAAAGAGCCATATTTCATATCAGATGAATGACGAGCCATATTTCATATCAGATGAATGACGATAAGTCAGTCAAAGACCTAGACACCATTAGACAGTCTTACTTTCATAAATGTTGATGTGTCATAAATGAAGAGCTATAAAAGGATTTCAGGTTTTATTGAAAGTGATTTTGAGAGATAATAATCATGCATAAATCATGCATAAACGCCTGGACCTGTTTTTGATTCAACTTGGCCTGAATTTACATTGTATATATACACTACCCTTCAAACCTTTGGGGTCAGTAAGATTTTTTTTATATATATAAATACTTTTATTCAGCGAGGGTGCATTAAACTTATGAAAAATGCCAGTAAAGACTTTTATTTTGTTACAAAAGATTTGTATTTCCAATAAATGCTGTTATTTTTTAACTTTCTATTTTTTTTTAAATCACGATTTCCAGAACAATATTAAGCAGCACTCCTTATCAGCATATCAGAATGATTTCTGAAGGTCATGTGACACTGAGGACTAGAGTAATGACTGCTGAAAAATCTTAATAAATTGCATTTAAAAAATATTAAAGTAGAAAACTGTTCTTTTGAATTGTAATGATTGTTTACAATATTACCGTTTTTACCGTATTTTAAATCAAATAAATAGCCTCGGATATCATAAGAAAATTATTTCAAAAAAGTATTTTTAACAGTAGAGTATATACAATACAAATTCAATACAATATACAAATACAATACATTCCAGGTGGCATCAACGGCATTTATGATTTTAGTGTTTCAATGTAAAAGTTTAGTATCTGACAAACCCCAGCAATCTCTGTAAAATGATTGTATTAAAAAGAAAATCTTGATTGTCTGCAGTTTCATGGGAAAGTCGTGGAACTTCTCTGCTGAAAAATTTAATAAATGAAAATATTTATTAAATCCAATAAGGTTTAGTTCTTAAATCCTTTTTCATTACTCAGATAAAATGTGTCTGTTTATCTCCTCTTTGACTGATAAACTAGGAAGGGATGTGTTCGTTCAGTGTAATCCTGCAGTGACATCAGTTTCTTTTTCTCTCTCTGTGCAGAAAGAAGAGGAGAGATTACGTGCATCTATCCGCCGTGAGTCCCAGCAGAGGCGCATGAGAGAGAAACAGCATCAGCGAGGTCTGAACGCCGGGTACCTGGAGCCAGACCGCTATGATGAGGATGAGGAGGGTGACGAATCCATCAGCCTAGCCGCCATCAAGAGCAAATATAAGGGTGGAGGTCTGAGGGGTAAGGTGGAAAATATTACACATTGGGCGTTGTGTATAAAATGCTCAAACATTTTCCGATTGTACACTGTAAAAAATGTCAGACCTCTCCAACTCAGAAATTTCTATTGACTGGTCACATCTAAATTTTTCAATTGGCCTAATTGAATTTCTGTGAATTGAATTGTATCTATTGTGGCAACAGTCTTTTAACATGGGCTCCATTAGAAATATGTTGATCCAATGGAAAAATGTAGTTTACCAAACCGTGTTGTTGGTCCAATTAAATGTTTTAAATTTTAGTTGCAATTTTATTTCTCACTGTCCCAAAAGAAAACATGTATGAAACACAAAACATAACAACACTGAATACATTCAAGAAGTCTTCTGCGTAACAGGATGTCTTTACGTGGTAAAGAAAACTGCAAATAAAAACTAGCATTTAATGACAAAGCTTCCCTGCATCACATCTGGAAAGTGACAAAACAGAAGTTACTTAATTATGTAATGAGGATGAGCAGGGCCGTAGCTAGAGGATTCGGGGCCCCCTGAAAAAATATTGATGTGGGCCCCCACCACCCTCCACCAATATCATATACTGTACAATAGATGAACATGGAGGCCCACATAACAGAAGATGGTGATGTTGTTGTAAAACCTTTATTTTAAAAGTTAAATGTTTATATAAAAATTACAACTAATAAAAACTAACAAAAAAGCAAGAAATTGCTAAATAATAATAAAACCAATTTTTAAAAAGTAATAATTTTTTTCCCCATCAGTCTGTTATAATTCATAAATCAAAAAGTAAACATTTAGAAATTGACAAGAATGCAGTCTAATTCAAAAAATAAAACCATTCATTGTCTTATTTTTTAATAAAGATATTATGGAACTGGTAATATTATTAAATAAAGCGAATACATTTATTCATCCAAGTGCAGTGTGTTGTATTCGTGTTTTCTCGATGTTTTAAATATCATCAGCCGGCAGGTCAGATGCATAATGCAATGCGTCGTGACTCGTGTAATTTTTTTAAAACTCTAGTTACAATAGTGTAAAAAGACAGGAATTTAGACCACGTAATCATTCGGTCGATTGCGGCGCGCACCGATAATAAAAAAAGACTGTACACGGCAGACTGTAGACGGAAGTTTTCTAATTCCCAGCGAAATAACAATATAACCGGTCTTTAAGAACGTCTTGATCGACTGGGATACAACCACTCTCCTTGCCTCCCTCTCCGTCTTTTCCTGGCATTTCTGGTTCCCTGATTTATGTTTTCTTTTCCCCGACATTTTTCAGTCAGTTAGTCTCCTGCTCTTCCACCAAGTTCATCGTTAACTTCAGGCTGCCGCCTCAACTCTGATTGGTTCTGTTCACGAGCTGGGGTGGGACTTACAATTTTATTGGGTCCATCTGATGTTTGTCACTGACTCTGACTGAATAATTAATAAATACTTTAGGTCGGACTAAACCATTTTTATGGAGGTAAGAGAAGCAGATATTTGGAAAAATATTTACCCAAATTGCACGTTTTTGTGGTTTTCATTTAAATCTCAGGCATACAACTAATATAAATATTAGAATTATTCATACTACAGGGGCCTAAATAGTATAACTAGTATGATTTTGTGGGGCCCCCTGGGCAGCGGGGGCCCCTATAATTGTCACCACCTTTCACCCCACTAGCGACGGCCCTGAGGATGAGACAGTCAGTCGATTTAGATATTGCTTTATCGTTTATTTTGTGGTATGTAAACATATCCAGCTTTTCAGAACTGCTTAAAGTTACTGACACGATAAACAATTATTGGATGAATAAGATAATCGCGAGCTTGACGTGTTTTATATTAAAAGGCAATAAGCCCCAGGCCGACGCCAATTGCAATCTAATGACACTGTGTTCAGCGTTCATGTGGTGCACATATCACACACATTACATCTCAGAAGTCGATCAAAACTGTATTTTACACGTATGGCTACCATCAGATAATTGTGGTAACTGGGAAAACGCTCTTGAAACCAATGAATGTATGAACTCAAAATTCTACAAAATGTATTTTAAACTTTATACCGGGTCATAAAGCAAAACTTTGGAGAATAATTTCAGTGCTCAATAATCACCATAACGTCTTGAAACTTGTGACAATGAATATCTGTATTCTCTTGGGAATTATGTTTATCAACACCCCTTTTTATTTCTAGTGATGCACGGAAAATTTTTTTTTTTCCAAAACCAAACTTAGTTAATTTAGCTGAACACAAGGTTTATTTAATAATCAATTCATTAATCAAATTGTTTAGTAATCAACAAATAATTGTTGAAATATAAACATTTAAACAGGGTGTCTATAATGACCGATTTATTGAAACATTCTGTAAAGGAGATATAACAGGTTAAGTTAAAGGGGTCATATAATGCCATTTTTGTACAAGCTAGTATGATTATTTAGGGTCTAAATTAAAAGTTTGTAATATACTTTAATTAAAAATTCTCATTAGTATTGTAAGAAAACACTTATTTTACTTGGTCAAAAACAGCTCTGTTTTCAGCACGCCGTTTCAGTGCACATGACTTTAAATGATAATGAGCTTTGCTCACTCCGCCTCTCTGTTCTGTGCGTACACCGTTTGTAACACAATAACCATAACGCGTTGTTCAGTATAAACGTGGGATTATGAATTATATTGAGAACATCATACATAGAAAACATGCCGTAATGTACCCTAAGTGTAAACCTTAGACGCATTCATTGTGAAGCGTGCAGCTAGCGATTTGCAAAGATTAATATAAATATTAATATAAAGTTTAATAAAACGTTACACTCACTTCAGTTGTTCTAGAGGTTCAGCAGGAACACGAATAGCTGGTACCGATCCTTTTTTCATGATCAGCTTCTTAGCAAATCCAGCTTTATACTGACCCTCGTTTATAAAGCAGTCTGGTGAGAAAGGATTCGGCAAACATGAGAGCATTGACGTTGCTCGTGGGGAATATTCCCTTCGAAAACAAACTCAGCCACTGCGTCTTCAGCGGTTCGGATTTAGGAACATTAAAATGACTGCTGTGTTCGTTATTACACCCAAGAACAGAACAGAACAACACAATCGCTTAGACGCCATTCTGCTCATAGACAGTGCTCCAGCATATCAACAATGACCGCACCGGTCCGCGCGGACTATGATTGACAGCTCGCTCACGAGCGAGGGAGGGTCTGTGTTGAAACGCTGCTGTCAATCAACAATCGTGGGAGGGGCTTCCGACCGTGTGACGTCCAACAAATTGCATGACGTCCTTGTAAAAGTGCATGTACCATTATATGACCCCTTTAAGTTTAGACTTTCACATCAAAAGTCACAAAGCGTATTGTGATTATTGGATGGTGTAGTTTTGTTCACTCATCAACTGAAAACAGCATAGAATAAAAGATTAATCTTGGGATTTAAGAATTGATATCAATTCATCAAAATGAAGATTGATTAAAATGTATTCAATTATATTGTCAACCCAGCCCTAGCATCCACACAGCTGACATGTAGTTTATCCACGTTGTGAGCACGAAATGGACACTTTGGTCAGCGCATTTTGGTCAATGATTTCGGGCCTCCAAAACCATCCAACATGCTGTATATTGGGACATAGTTTTTGGTTGACGGGATTTCTGTGCATCACTAATCATTTCCATATGCTTGTAGCCATTCAGACATATGGTACCTGTAAACCTCTTTTTTGAGGAAAAACCCTTTACACCAACTAAACAAACAACTCCGAATTGCATCTGCACCAATAGCTTTAGTGTGAAAATGATAGCCTCTATAGGAAGTAGGTCAGTTGAAATGGCCTCTGAACTGCGGTGGGGTGCTGTGTCTGTCCTCTATATTGTATTCCATCGCTTCCCCGTGGGTCAGTGTTTCTGCACAACAGATTCTTTGAGTGAGATTGAGACCTGCTGCGATCAGCTAGAACATTTTGTACAGCAACAACAGCTTGTGTTCCCAAAACAGTACGTCTCACACGCGCACACTTTCTCACCGACAGTAACCGTTACAGCCGTTAGCCGATTACCTGCCGACTCCTTAATACTGCATTATGTCGGAGTCCAACTGAGATTTAGATTAGTTTGTTCAGTTTGATTTGTTTGTGCCAGTAAGAGGTATTTACTGAAAGAACATCTCTCTGGAATGCTTGAAAATGTGTCTTGAATTCTGAGCTGTGCTAAAATGTTTGTTTGTTTGTTTGTGGGTCATAGAGGAGCGTGCCAGGATCTATTCGTCAGACAGCGATGAAGGTTCCGATGAAGACAAGGCCCAGCGGCTGATGAAGGCCAAGAGACTGGACAGTGATGAGGTGAAACTTTCCGTCCAAACAGACTGTTCATGTTTATTAAAAAAGAACTTGGAAAAAGAAATATATATGATATGTCTTAACCATTAGCACGACTCTGACTGGCCGCCCACTTTTTCAGCATCCTTGGTTACAAAAGTATATTTCCCATTCGTTTTCTTCAGTAAAGAGATCAAAGCCATGAATCAAAGTTAACGACTTTAAAGGTTTGCTTCACACAAAAGTTAAAATTCTGTCATCATTTGCTTCTGTCGTTTCAAACCCGTAAGGCTTTCTTTCATCTTTTAAACACAAATGAAGATGTTTTTAATATTCTCTCATAATTTTTGTCTATTATTCATTAGAGGTGTGATGAGATCTTGCGATAGAAACGTGACGATATTTCTCGTCAAGGTGAAAGCTGTTTGGTGATATCATAGAGTTGAGTTTGTGGCAAAACCTTTTATAGTGCTTGCATTATGTTGTTCTGTCTCATACTAAGAAAGTAAAACTGAAGTCACATTCGTTACAAGATATGGCTGTCATGATTCCTCGACTAAATTTGAGTGCGCGATTTAAAAAGATATACATATAATAAAAAAATCCTCGATTTTAATTTACCCACGTCGTTTAACCAGCAAAATACGGGAAGTGGCCTTAAGAATCAATGGACCGCATTATTAGACTGTTTTCTAAGGCGGCAGCCACTGTGCGATTTAACCTTTTCATAGTGTTATTGTGAAATTAAATAAATAAATAAATGCGCTGCGGGTTTCGGAGTGAATTGTCGTTCATTGCAATTTCAAAGTAAAAGTTTAAACCCTCGCTTTGAGTTTGCATGTGGACATCAAAATGTTCTTGTTCAAGAAATTACACTGGCATTTCTATTGGAAAGAAGTGGCCAAATATTAAATATTAAGTGGACATTTTAATTAAATATTGTTTGGCAAATAATAAACAAGGATTTGATCATGCTGTAAAGTGTAACAACAAAAATCACCAGTCCGTTGGCGCCCTCTGCAGGCATTTGTTATAATGCGTAATGAAGTTCATTGTTGTTTATAGTATATTACATGATGATCTATTTTAACAGTTGTTCAATAAATTGGATTACTTTCTTTTGATGCTTTATTTGAACCAATTAGAATTGCCTCATTGTCATATATGTATTTTGAATAACTTTAAAAGCTATTGTTCTCTTGGATAAATTTTTATTACCACAAAAAATATTATCCGCTTACTCAAAATAATCGAACGATTACTCGATTACCAAAATAATCGTTAGTGGCAGCCCTATATTTGTTAAAACATTAAAATTGCACCTGCATAGTCTTGCATTTTGTGACTTTCAATCACATATTTTGTCATTGAAGTTTTCTTAATAATAGTGTTAAAATATCGCCTTCTCGTGAACCCAATATTGTGTATCATCTCATGAGCTAAGTGTTTCATCACACCCCTACTATTCATTGAAAGTCCATGCAACCAAAACTTTCAAGCTTCAAAAAGTCATCGTTATCCAGTGGCCACTGCATGCAAAAACCAATGAGGTTCATTCTCACCGGTCAAGCAAGTACATTTGAGCTTTTGTTTGATCAATGTTTATATGTGAATAAAAAGACATATCGTATCATCATGTAAAGTGATTGTCTCTCTTCAGAAGACTGATCTAAACCACTCAATTTATATATATTAATTCTACAATGTCTTAATGTTCTTTTTGAAGCTTGAACATTTTGGCGTGGACTTTCAATAGATTGGCAAAAATAAAAAAAATGTGTTTGTTCCAAAGATGACTGAAAGTCATGTGTATATGGACTGACATGAGGTTGAGTAAATGACAGAATTTTTAATTTTGGGTGAACTGCCCCTTTAAGATGAATCACAATATTTGAATTTTTCGCCATGATTCTTGTTTCTTTGGTAACTGAATCCTGCTTAGTTCACCCAAAAATGAAAATTGTCATTAATGACTCACCCTTATGTCGTTCCAAGCCCGTCAGACCTCCGTTCATCTTCGGAACTCTTCGGTTTAAGATATTTTAGATTTAGTCCGAGAGCTTTCTGTCCCTCCATTGAAAATGTATGTACGGTATACTGTCCTTGTCCAGAAAGGTAATAAAGACATCATCAAAGTAGTCCATGTGACATCAGTGGGTTAGTTAGAATTTTTTGAAGCATCGAAAATACATTTTGGTCCAAAAATAACAAAAACGACGACTTTATTCAGCATTGTATTCTCTTCCGGTTCTGTTGTCAATCCGCGTTCACGAGTCCGCAGTGACTCTGATGACGCGTGTGCCCGAGCTTCGTTTACAGTCTGAGGGAGACGCACGCTGCGGACTCGTGAACGCGGATTGACAACAGAACCTGAATAAAGTTGTAGTTATGCTTTTTTTCAAAGGTTAATAGGCTAGCCAATCATAACAGAAGTCATTTACATATAGAAGTCTTAAAGATACAGTATCAAAAACAATTCTAATGCTCTGAGAGACTGGAAAACTTCTGACTTGTCTCTAAGACACCTTGACTAACACCATAAGTGCACTTTAGGGAATTAAAAATGTATATTTATCTTTTTTTTTCAGGAGGGAGAGAACTCTGGAAAGCGAAAGGCAGAGGAAGATGATGAATCTGCAGCTGCCAAGAAACCCAAAAAATATGTCATCAGTGATGAAGAAGAGGAGGAGGAGGTGGGGGAGGTGGGGGAGGTGGGGGAGGTGGGGGAGGTAGAGGAGGTGGAGGAGGTAGAGGATGTGGAGGATGTGGAGGAAGACGAGTGATTTTTTTTTTATATATATATAGTTTTGTGCTTGTTTAATCACAATAAAGTAGGTGGTTAATCCATAAAATAAAATCTGCAGTTATTTGTATATTTTATAAGGATTGAAGATGCTCATCATTACAACAAAACAATAAAGCGCAATAACCTCGATGTGGCCTGCTTGTGGTTTATTAAATGTGTAACTGAAATATTACACTGTAATATGTTTAATGTTCATTTTATAATAAAATCACTGTTCTGAAAGTTTGACTCCTGAACTGTAAAACTTATGAAAGACAAAAAAGGTTGAGGAACGCTGCTCTACTCGACACTGAAAGAACTTCACTTTTTTTGTCATCGGTTCAGTGTTTTATTTTATTTTTATGAAAATAAAGATAAAACAGAAAGGACACTCTTTATGTGTTGGGCATTTCAAATATGCAAAATATGTAGTAAAAAGAGTTGCTGCGGAAATCTTAAATTTCATTTAAACCTTCACATGCCAAACTATATTACAAAGTGTACCTCTGGGGGCAATAAAATACATTTCCAATATTAAAATACATTTTGAGTAAATGCAAAATGTGGTTTTTAAATGTATCTTGGACAATTAAAAAAAATGTCCAAGCCATATATAGGAAAATATTAGAATGTATTAAAAGGTTATAAATATGTTATCTACAATAGAAATATGTTAACTTTGTGTGTGCAGATTAATTTGAGCAGGAGTTTATGACCTAATTATAACTTGTAATTTATGAATGCTATATCCATCACATCCACATCCATCACAGGTGTGCATTTTTAAAGTTATCTTTGCTTATTAGTATAGTTGAGTAGGTCAGCAGTGAAGACATTGCTTAAAGTGAGATTAAAACTATAAAGTATTTTTGTGTTATTTAACAATTTGAATTATTGCAGGTTCGTGTAATAACCTGAGTTTGCATTTCACTGTTTTTATTCATTTTGAGGAATACTGAATCTATTTGTACAAGTGAGATCAGTAAATGCACGCTCACATTTAGTCTAGAACTGCAATAACCACACAACACCTCTGCACTCCCTGCCGATTTCTCTCAACTTGGGGACAGGAGAGGTGTCAGTCAATAAATGGGAAAACAGAGTAAGTGGCTTTACTTATTGAAAAAGTAACTCATATTTTGTTGTAAATATAAAAGTAATGCTTTAGTAGTTACCTGAAAAATGTATTATTAAAAATGTACTATACTGTTATTTACTCCAAGTGCTGATTGTAACGCATTTCTTTTAAAAGTAAATTTCCCCTACATGACATAAATGTCTTAAAAATCCAGACAGTATAAGAAGTTGGTGATAAAGTGTGCTTAACCCCATAAATTCTACAGTATATGCAAAACCTTACTATCTGATTGATAGTTTATACTTTTTTTTAGCAATTAACTTTAAGTAAAAATTTACACCTTCAGTTTGTGGTACATGTGTCTATTTGCTGTGAAATCTTTACTGATTTTTATTAAGTAAACATAAGATTAACTATTACAGGTGAAACTCGAAAAATTAGAATATCGTGCAAAAGTTAATTTATTTCAGCAACTTAAAATGTGAAACTAATATATGATATAGACTCATTACATGCAAAGTGAGATATTTCAGGCCTTTAATTGTTATAATTTGGATGATTATGGCTTACAGCTTATAAAAACCCAAATTCAAAATTAGAATATTGTGAAAAGGTTTTCATAAACTGTAGGCCTAAGCCTTTTTTTTTTTTTACTATTATTTATTATCAGTCTTTTCAGGGTTAACTATGAAAATGGACTTTAAAATAGACCTCACTTACAGACCTCTTTACACAAAATCAAGCATTTTTTATTCAAATGCAACCTAAAAATGCAACGCCTTAGCAAACGCATAAATGTCCTGGCAACGGCCCACAACATCAGCATCATGGCGATGAATTTTGCTCAGGCAAACAGTCGTGCTTGCGTAAATTGCTTGATATTCATTCCACAGCACTCTCCTCCGTTCATCTGCACACAGAGGAATCCCCATTTCATCTTCATTTTGCCTCAGGGCTGTACTGAACTGTAGCTATGAAATCATATGAACGCACGTAAGCGTAGGCCTACATTGCGGCTGCACTCGTGCTTCTTCGTCTGTAAACACACACGCACACACGCACAAACACACACGTTTCTCACAGATGCTGACGGGAGTGTTTTGTGTTGTTCAGGTGTGCCAAATAAGTCCACAGCTGCGTCACATAATAAGAATGTTGAACATTCGTAGTAAGTCCAAAATATTGTCTATTGTCGTTGCGGTGTGAAATGGGTGTATGTGTGCAGGCTGCAGCTGAAGCTGTGGAGAATCCTGCAGTGTGTCTGTGCGTGATTTATTAAACGCTCTGTCCCTCTCTCTCCCTCTCTCTCTCTGCAGTAGTGTTATGTAATGGTGTGGCAGTGCTGGTTGGCCATGGACACAGACTGGGGGGGTTCAGACTTCTGCAACATTGCCTCACCGTCTGCATCCCGCTTCACTGTGGCCAGTGCTGCAGTTGAGAGCTGTATTCAAAATGGAATGTACTTTACTGCATGCTGTGCAGTCCCTATATAATGCTGTTTTTAAAGATACTGTGTGAAACAGGCAGCAATCATCAAGTGGGGGAAAACGTATAGTTTATTGATAATTTGCTTAGCTGCTACTGCTTACTGCTGATTTATTTAGCATTATTTACATAATGGAGTTGAATTATTAATTTGAGTTTAAATGATTTTCGTATGTGTGAAGAAAGACACTGCTATATTGACTCACATATCAAAAATGTATAGGCCTAATACTGAATAACAAAAAGGTCTCAATGAACTTCACAATTTTTTTTTTTAAATAAAGATGAAATATATATATATATTTTAAAAACCTTCAAATGCAAATATATATTGCAAAATGTGTACTTTAAGGGACCAGAAAATACATTTCCAATAATAAAATACATTGTGTAATGTATTGTTTTTAAACAATAAACTATCTAGGATGTCAGGATGTTTTGAATGCACAGCTAAAAAAAAAAGAAAAAAAGGGACATTTCCAAGGACAGGTCCAGCTGGGACAGGCCACGATAAATGGAGGCTACCCGGACATCTGGTCATCTTAGAAAAGAATGTTAAAAACAAGGAGCTCTATAAAACCTGAAGAGAGCTAACCCATTAGCATTCAAATTTATATGAACATCTGGTGCAAGAATGATACATTTTGAATTCTACCATGTTTGCTCAAGTATTCTGTCAGAATATCCAGCAGCTTTTGGATGGCAATCAATAAAAGCATGATGCTTTTTGCCCATTTTAATGATGTAGTTATGACATCTACCAGCAGGGGCTAATGGGCTCATGATAGAAAGCCAAACCTTGACCCCTTGACACTTGACACTTGACACTACGGTGTCTCCATAATCTTACACAATGAATGGCTTGATTCAGAATAGCATATTAGCATTCAACTCTTGCAATTTCTGCCATATAAAGATTAGATATACTAGTAAGCTAGCATTGCTATTCTGAATTCGATGAATGAGTCAGATAAGAAGACCCAAGGAACACTCATCTACTAACACACAACACACACATGATCTCAATCTATTGTGGATTTCAGGGTTATTATGTCACACACACACACACACACACACACACACACACACACACACACACACACACACACACACACACACACACACACACACACACACACACACACACACACACACACACACACACATTCATTACTTGAAAAAAAAAATGTAGCCTAAAAAAATACTTAAACTGAAGATATAAAAGGACTGCGGCACCTGAATAAACTCTTTAAATGCTGAAGGTGGCTGCTTATTTGTCTGGATATATGCCTGGTTATTTGCCTTGATTATGATTTTGATGAATTGCTGCTGCCACAATCACTCGAAAAAGTAAACAAACATCACTTAATTAAAATTATATTTACCATCTGCTTTCTATTTATGGCAGGCGGTAAGTGAATAAGGTACAATCTATAATAAGTATTTTGCATTGGTGTGTATTGAAAAAGAATGACTTAATATGCCTAATGTAGCACTAAAAGCACTAGTGTGTGTGGGAATTGGTTAAGACTGTGGGTGGTTCGTGAATAAGACGGAGGTATTTGTGCTAAAATATGGACTAAAGTACCACAACTGTGTAATGAATTCACCTCTGAATCTATTCTCTGGCCTATAATTTGGCCCAGTCTAATTATTACTTGAACGTAATGAACTTATATTGAACTATATATTGATTTTATAGTTCCCATCTGACCCTTTTAGCCACAAAACTTAGTATCTTTTGATGCATCTTAGTGTACAAAGTCATTTTATGAGAGAAAAGAAAAACTTGCTTTTGTCCAGTGTGTCTTCAACATGTTTTTGCAAAGTACAAAATATATGTAATTGGACCTAATCTCTTGTATCATGATGGCTATTAGAGGTTCACTCAGCCTCGAGTAGTTCTCTGCTGCCAGGCCTTCTTGGAAAGTCATATGAGCTCTGTGTAGACGCACAAATGTTCCTCATCCGTCTTGTTTTCCCTTTTTTCCCCTCAAGCTTCTGGGGAAAGTATAATCGTAGGAAGCAACATAAGAGCCCATTAATGCTGGAAACATCTCACATGGTTTTCTGCTGAATCCCATTCAAAGTCGTATTAAGAATATTCCGTCATATCCCCTTCCGACCATAAATGCTGTTCCATTACCTGACACTTAAAAGAGGATGATGATTTAAAAAAACAATCGCACTCCTTCTGTTAGCTTTGTAGCAACCGAACTGAGGAGGATAAACAAACCATGCTATGCTAGCCTTTGCTCTGCATGGATACAACATGGAAACAGACATTATTTACCATGTTTTACACATATGTCTCTGTAATCATTTCCTGAACTGGTTTTATTATCATGTATTTCATTAGCTTAAAGTCCCCCTGTGGTGAAAATTAAGCTTTTAATGTTGTTCATATGTCTATGTGGTGTTTTTAATATGCTTTAAGAAGTGCAAATTCATAAATCAACACCACTGTGGAGTATTTTCTTTTTAAAACGGCAGTAAACAAAAGCCAGTCAATGTAAGATTTTTGTAATAAAATATATATATAAAAAAAACACTTGCACAGTGTAATATTTCATGCAGTTGTGTAGGA